ATAGCTCTATCTAGCGTAACAGGCTTTTTCCAATAGTTATAGTTTTTTCAGCACCAAATGAGGTCTTTAGGCAGATGGGCAGCACAGTGGCTAAATGGTTAGCTCTCCCACCTGGCAGTACTAGCATTGTTGGTTCAAATCCCAACCACGGCACCACCTGCCTAGAGTTTGCATGTTCATGTGCTTGCATGGGTTTCCTCCCACACTAGAAGACATGCTGGTAGGTGAATTAGGATCCTGTCTAAATTGTCCCTAGTATGTGTATGAATGTGAGTTAGGACCTTAGATTGTACACCCCGTGAGGGCAGGGAGCAATGTGAATGTACAATATATATGTAAAGTGCTGTGTAAATTGACTGTGCTATACAAGTACCTTAAATAAATAAACTTTATTTAGATGGTATATTAAAGAGGTTTTTTGCCTTAACCACTTCCAAAATAAAATAACCCAAATTAGTTTATAACCAAAAAATTATAATTTTGAAAAACATTTTTTTACATTTTTAATTTTTTTAGATTATTATTTATGTTTTTTTTTATTTTACATACTGTCACCCTAGCAGTACAGTGTCCCAGGGAGCGCGCACAAGCAGGGGGCGGGGAGGCCATTTATAAACGGCCACCCACCCCTGCACTGCCACCGCCCGGCCGTTTATATACAACGGCCGGACGGGAAGTGGTTAAGGTGAAAAAAACCCAGAGTATGCAGCTCCTCCCCCAGCCCTCCTTATACCTGCCTGATCTTGATGCAGAGGCACTCTCCCTGCTCATTGGCTCAGACGCAAGCTCCCGTGAGCAATTGGTTCCCGCTGTTGTCAATCACAGCCAGTGAGGAGGGAGCAAGGGTCAGGGCCAAGCCACACTCTGTGGGGTTTATTTACTAAAGCTGGAGAGTCCAAAATCAGACTCCCTTCTGCATAGAAACCAATCAGCTTCCAACCTCAGCTTGTTCAATGAAGCTTTGGCAATGAAACCTGGAAGCTGATTGGTTTCTATGCAGAAGGGAGTCTGATTTTTGACTCTCCAGCTTTAGTAAATAAACCCCTGTGTGTCCATGGACACACAGAGCCAGCTCAGGAGCAAGCACACATGAGTGCCCTTATCAGAAGCAGCTTGCAATGGGGACACTCGGTGGGGGAGAGGCACCAGGAGGGCCGGCAGTGGACCCGAGAAGAGGAGGATCAGGGTTGCTTTATGCAAATCGATTACACAGAGAACATGTTTGTTTTTTTTCATGCGAACGTTTACAATTACTCTAACTGTATTTAATGCAAGGACATTTTCTGAAAGCTGCGGGTTTGTATGCAAGATTATAGGTTGGGCTGTTTTCCTTGAGAAAAATAGGAAAGAGTCTATGGATTCACTCACTGACATTTGAGGTGCAGAGCAACAAAAAAAGTTTCAAGTAAAAGAAAAAATAAACGGTGCAATTCCCTTAAATTGGCATCACAGTGTTCCCTGCCAGACCTAACACTGACAGCTGCCCACAGGGTACAATGCTGCGTTTTACCATGCAGACTTGTGTGAACCATCCTAAATGTAAAGAATTTGTGACACTCCAGTATGTCTTACTTTTTTCCTGGCAGGAATCTGGATGTCAGGTTAGGTAGGTGGTGCAAATTCTCTACAGGTTAGGCAGCAATGATAATTTACAAGCAGCTCAGTCTGCTCAGAGCCAACAAGGTGAGCCTTTAGACCCCATGTGGCAACTGTGGAATGTTCTGTCATACTTGTAGCATGCCGTTGGTGGCTTCCCCCCCCTCACTGTGATGTTGCACCAGTCCCCAGCTTCCCAGTAGCAACACAATGAATTATTTGGGGATCCTGTGAGTGTGAGAGTCGCAGGATGAATCAGCAGCAACCACTGCAATGCGAACACATAACCAGAGGCGGACTGACAACTCATGGGGCCCCCGGGCAATAGGGGATCATGGGGCCCCTGTGTCCTTGCCCAAACTCAAAAAAGCCTATGAAAAAAGGTACCAGGGGTATCTCACGGGGCCCTCTACTGACCCCGGGCCCTCGGGCAGTGCCCGAGTTTCCAAATGGTCAGTCCGCCGCCCCTGCACATAACCAAGTCTGGGAGTCATTATATTTGAATCACTATTCACCTACATATGTGCAGTGTGTGTCAGTCCATACACTGCACATGTGTAAGCTCAACCCAACCATGGGCCCATGTGCCCAGCACTCCATACACACAGGGAGGTTATGCCATTGGTTTAATGCAAAACAAAAAAGCAATTAGTAAGCATCAACCTAGAACTCCAGCAGCACACTGGACAGTCAGACTGCCCTCACACACAACCCACAATGAGCATTGTTACCTGGGGCAGTGTGCAGGGGAGGTGGTAATTCATACTGCTGGAGACCCGGGACACTGCATTGTATGTGAGAGGCGGTCTGACTCTCCATCTTGCTGTCAGTACAGGTAAAACAGCTCTGGCAGCACACTGGAGAGTAAGGGCTTGTTCACACTTGACTACATTTTTAACTCTTACCAAACGCTTTATAGCTTTAGTATAGGCGTTAGACAAGCCTTAGTGAGCTTTAGTATTGGGCATTATACAGGCGTTAATGAGCTTTAGTATTGGCATTAGACAGGCGTTATTGAGCTTTAGTATTGGCATTAGACAGGCGTTATTGAGCTTTAGTATGGGCATTAGACACGTTATTGGCTTTAGTATGGGCATTATAAGAGCTTTGAGCTTTAGTATTGGCATTAGACAGGCGTTATTGAGCTTTAGTATGCGCATTAGACAGGCTTTAGTATGGGCATTAGACAGGCATCATTGAGCTTTAGTATGGGCATTAGACAGGCATCATTGAGCTTTAGTATGGGCATTAGACAGGACATTGAGCTTTAGTATGTTAAAGACAGGTGCTTTAAAGAGTATGTATGGGCATTAGACAGGTGTTAAAGAGCTTTAGTATGGGCATTAGACAGGCATCATTGAGCTTTAGTATTGGCATTAGACAGGCGTTATTGAGCTTTAGTATAGGCAATTAGACAGGCGTTAATGAGCTTTTGTATGGGCATTAGACAGGCGTTAATGAGCTTTAGTATTGGCATTAGACAGGCATTAATGAGCTTTAGACCGGCTTTTTACAAGCGTTAAAAACGCTCCCCAAATGCCCTATGTGCAGTTTTGAAGCATTAAGGCGTTAATGAGCTTTAGAATAGTTATTAGACAGGCGTTATTGAGCTTTAGTATAGGCATTAGACAGGCATTAACGAGCTTTAGTATAGGCATTAGACAGGCGTTATTGAGCTATAAAAATATATGTTTCACACCAATTTAGTGAATACAAGCAGCGCATACACTTCACAGTGTTATAATTGAAACTTTAGTGATAAATCTCTTATCATCACTCATGCATTGTATATCCTTCATCAATACATATTCTGAATATTATCTCTGTGACAAAAGAAAGCAAAAATTTGTTTAGAAATGAATGAATACAACACATACTGTGATATCTCAAAATAAAAGTCCCGTGACATAAAATATATATATAATAAATAATAAAAAAATAGTCCCGTGATAAAAAGATAAAAAAGATATTAAAGTCCAGTGATGAAACCACTTCACGTGATGAAAAACTTTAAGGTATAGATAACCTTGTGCAGTGCCCAAGGTGCGCCTGTCTAATGCCTATTCTAAAGCTCAATAACGCCTGTCTAATGCCCATAGTAACTCTCATTAATGCCTGTCTAATGCCTATACTAAAGCTCATTAATGCCTGTCTAATGCCAATACTAAAGCTCAATAACCCACTGCCTAACGTCAATCCTAAAGCTCAATAACGCCTGTCTAATGCCAATACCAAAGCTCATTAATGCCTGTCTAATGGTTACAGATCTGCGTCACTTCCGGTCTGCCGCACCGTCACACACTGCCGCGTTTCGTCATATCCTGACTTACTCATAGGCGTGACAGTGCGCTGCGGCTTACCACTTATATTAGGAACCAATAATTAGAGTCATCAGGCAAATAATCTTGTCTAATTAGCTCACCTCCGTCTCACAGGAGGCAACTCATAGGCTCCATACATTTACTCAAAAGAGGGCAAAACACATAACAACAATCTCATTATAACATTTTTACATCGAAAACACATAAAGACATACTATTGGGGATTGTTTATGTTTTTAACATTGTAAGTGCAATACTTGGAGTAAATAAATCTATCTATCTTGGGTAATATACTATTGGAGCAGATTCTTTGTTCTTCTCTTTTCATGATATGGTGGAATGGAGTTTTGAATTATCCTGGCAATCAGTCATTATGTGGGCTGTCCTTGGAGGAACCTCCTGGTCACACCAGTGGATATCCTCTTGAGTATGCTATAATAAAGGCAATATCTGGTGAGTGCACACCCGAGTGGGGGTGCACGGTGGGCACTGCACAAGGTTATCTATACCTTAAAGTTTTTCATCACGTGAAGTTGTTTCATCACTGGACTTTAATATCTTTTTTATCTTTTATCACGGGACTATTTTTTATTTATTTATTATATATATTTTTTTATGTCATGGGACTTTTATTTTGAGATATCACAGTATGTGTTGTATTCATTAATTTCTAAGCACATTTCTGCTTTCTTTTGTCACAGAGATAATATTCAGAATATGTATTGATGAAGGATATACAATGCATGAGTGATGATAAGAGATTTATCACTAACGTTTCAATTATAACACTGTGAAGTGTATGCGCAGCTTGTATTCACTAAATTGGTGTGAAACATATATTTTTGATCTATTTTGAAGTAAGGTATAGTGGAAGCAATAACGTTTTCACGTTTTTTTTTTATTATTCAGTCTTTATTTTTTATAATTAATTTTTTCTATCAGGTGCGATATAGTGACATTGGATGTATCTTCAAAGTGGTCACTTATATAGTATATATATATTTTGTTAATGAGCTTTAGTATAGGCATTAGACAGGCGTTTATGAGCTTTAGTATAGGCATTAGACAGGCATTAATGAGCTTTAGTATTGGCATTAGACAGGCGTTAATGAGCTTTACTATGGGCATTAGACAGGCGTTTATGAGCTTTAGTATGGGCATTAGACAGGCGTTTATGAGCTTTACTATGGGCATTAGACAGGCATTATTGAGCTTTAGTATAGGCATTAGACAGGCGTTTATGAGCTTTACTATGGGCATTAGACAGGCGTTAATGAGCGTTAGTATAGGCATTAGACAGGTGTTTATGAGCTTTACTATGGGCATTAGACAGGCATTAATGAGCTTTACTATGGGCATTAGACAGGTGTTTATGAGCTTTAGTATGGGCATTAGACAGGAGTTTATGAGCTTTAGTATGGGCATTAGACAGGCATTAATGAGCTTTACTATGGGTATTAGACAGGCATTAATAATCTTTACTATGGGCATTAGACAGGCGTTAATGAGCTTTAGTATAGGTATTAGACAGGCATTAATGAGCTTTAGTGTATTAGACCTGCATTAATGAGCTTTAGTAGGTATTAGACAGGCATTAATGAGCTTTAGTATAGGTATTAGACAGGCATTAATGAGCTTTACTATGGGCATTAGACAGGCGTTAATGAGCTTTAGTATAGGTATAGATAGGCATTAATGAGCTTTAGTATAGGTATTAGACAGGCATTAATGAGCTTTAGTATAGGTATTAGACAGGCATTAATGATCTTTACTATGGGCATTAGACAGGCGTTAATGAGCTTTAGTATAGGTATTAGACAGGCATTAATGAGCTTTACTATGGGCTTTAGACAGGCGTTAATGAGCTTTAGAAGCTTTTTATAAGCATTTGACAAGCGTTACAACTACACTATAAATGAAATAACCTCTAATGTTATGAACGCTCCGCAACCACACCACAAATGCCTGCCAGTGTGTTTGAGGAGCGTCACCATAGACTTGAATGGGAGGTGTTGAAAAGCTTCAAACTCCTCCTGACTCAACATGAGGCTTCAATTTTGAAACAACGCTTCATGTTTTGATGATGTGAACAGCACTGTGTGCTGCCTATAGTATCATTTGCATAGGCTTTTAAGGAGCTTTAAAAACACCCCTCAAACGCCTGCTTTCAAAGCCATTGTGAACTAGGCCTTAGACTGATGCTTTCACAAAAAAGCTCAGCATGAACACTGCTAACTAAAGCAGTGTGCAGGGTGGTAATTCATACTTCTGGAGACCCAGGACACTGCATTGTGTGTGAGAGGTGGTCTGACTCTCCATCTTGCTGCCAGCACAATTTATCTTAACTCTTTGTGCAGTCTGGCTACTACAATTTAATATACACCAAACAGAGAATACTGCACATAGAGAATCAGATCAAAAATGAAAATGACATATTGTAGAGTTTAAAACATATAAAACAATTGTTTTTGCTGAAATGTGATGTATTGCTGACACCGGCTGCTATGACTTTCGTTGCACTTTTACAGCAGTTTGTTTCAAGCCATAAAGAGTCCCACTGTTTTGTTCTAAAATAAGTCTTGTTAAGGATCTGACAGATTTCACCTAGACATGTCAAAGGATCCTCCAGACAGTGTGGGCACTAGTCTGTAATGTGAATACAACTTCACTGGCCCAGTAGCATTAGTCATATGTTTTGCATGTTGTCTGTTTAACATACAGCCAGGGGCGGACTGACATCTCATGGGACCCCCGGGCAATAGGGGATCATGCGGCCCGTGTCCTTGCCCAAACTCAAAAAAGCCTATGAAAGAGGTACCAGGGGCATCTCATGGGGCCCTCTACTGCCCCCGGGCCCTCGGGCAGTGCCCGAATTTCCAAATGGTCAGTCCGCCCCTGCATACAACTGACATTATTTCTAATTTTGTACAATGACAATGATTATATACAATCATAAAAAGACATTAGACAATTGTGCACCTCCAACCTTGAGGTAACTTTTTGAGCAAGGTTTTTTTTCTGTTTCGGGATGGCAGTGCCCCTATGTACAAAGCCAGCTTCATTTAGACAATATTTGATGAGTTTGATGTGGAAGAACTTGAGTGACTTGCACACAGCCTTGGACTTAAACCTAGTGTAAATCGTTGGGATGGCTACAAACGCTGATCGGATGCTGGTTTTCCAGCGTGCCTGTTCGATAAAAGCCAGCTTCTGTCGGACAGGCTGCTGTACACACGGGCTGAATGTTTGCCAGTTTCTGTTGAACTTGCCGATACCAGCCAATATTCGGCCCCTGTGTACCAGCCTTAAGAAGACACATTTTATGGAGTCCTTGTGCCTTTAAGCCAAGAGAAAGTGGAAAAGGTTTAACCATTGAGTCTTCTCAGTAGCCTTTCAAAGTAGACCCAAGCTCTTGGACTTTAGAGGTCCACACCTCCCATGTCTTCCAATTGGTCAGTGAGGTCGTTCATCACATTTGGTAGTCAACAAGGAGGTGTGTGAGATAGAAATATGTAGAGTGAAACAAAAACGAGATGCGCACCAACCTTGCACATTACCTCAGTAACCAAAATTTAATAATTAAAGAATGGTACTTACAAACACCGAATAAAATCAGGCATGTAGTCCTCAAAGGGACTTCAGAGATAGAGAGCCAGCGCGAATCCCATCAGAGGGGTAGACACTCTTTACAGCTGACACATTTCGAAGACCATGCCTTCTTCCTCAGAGCTCTCTGGCTCTCTATCTCTGAAGTCCCTTTGAGGACTATATGCCTGATTTTATTCGCTGTTTGTGAGTACCATTCTTTAATTAATAAATTTGGTTACTAAGGTAATGCGCAAGGTTGGTGCGCTTCTCGTTTTTGTTTCACTTTGCAATATTGGTCGGGCTTCCCCAGCCTTGTTTGGAGCTGCACAACCTTAATACACTGGTGGTCGCCTTTTTCTGGTTTTGGTTCCATCTACTTGCCAACGGCCTGGGTCCTAGAGCGCAGGAGAAATCACATCTGGTCTATAGAAATATGTAGCCCAGAGTATATCCATTGAGGATGATCCTTGAGTACTCTGGATATAATAAGAGGATGTGAGTAGGCCCCTGGAACTTTCTTCTGTATGGACCTGGGGCCACATTACAAGTTACGCAGAGCCCACAAGTTAAAATCAGTTTCAGACTTCTATTATTTGCTTTATGTTTTTACAACATCCAAAGCATTCCTTTAGACAAAGCTGACAGAGTTGTAAATCTTCCAAGTAGCATATGCTTTAGGAGCTCATTTACATCCACTATAGTGATGACCTATTTTACAAGGGTGATAGTTCCAATTCCTTTAGCTATTAGCAGATATGTTATGTGTAAATGAGATACATGATACTGACTCAGATGTCTATGCTCTCTGCTGTACTCATTGAGCTTCAGTCAGCCATCCTGACACAAGGATTGCATTAGTGGCCACTGGTCGGCTTATGCCTTAGTGATTCAATTAATTATTAGGCTGAATTCACAAAGATAACACACTAGAATAAGGATCTTTATTTGCAAAAAAAAGTGATAGTTTTTATTAGCTGAGTCCAATGAGATTTCCAAATGACACCACCAATAACCTGGCAAAAATAAAGATCCTTATCTTTGTGTAAAGTGAATTGACCCTGTTATCTGCAAATTAAAATGGGAAATGCCAGTATATGTCACTGGACCTAACTCTTATTTGTACTGTAGTGACTTAGACTTACCTCCCCACTTTCAGAAAAGGGAAAAGTACAAGGTATGTAGACATATAGGCAAAGAATACACTCCTACCATGCACCCCGCTTATTATGAATTAACGATAGGGACAGTGGAATATGATTGCAAAATGATAACGTGAACAGGCATGAACCTCTCAGGAAAGGAACTAGTTGACCCCATTTTAGAGCATGGTTCTCTCACAAGAGTCTGATGGAGCCTAGAGGTATGAACCTCTCAGTAAAGGAACTACTTGGCCCTAGTTCAAAGCACATCTGGCCCACGAGAGACTAGAGAAGGCCAAAGGTATGAACACCTCAGGGGGGAGAAACTACTTGGTCCAGCTATCCCAATAGTACACAGTCACTGGAATCCTGTAGTAAAGTAGAACTTACAAGGCCAGATGATTAGCTGTGTCCATTCAGCTTCTTCCAGGTGCCTTCTAATGAGGTTGCTCAGACTGGATCCTTAGATGAAGTCTCGGGGTGTCAGAAAAACGTTCAGAAGTAGGCCCCTCGGCTCTGGACAGCTAGGACCTTGATGAAACACAGCTTGAACAGGAAGCAGCTTGAGGGAGGGTGTACCCACCCCCAACCCAGACAGATGGAATCCCTCAAACAAAGAAAAACCCTGCTGTTCTAAAACTACGATTATTTGTGTGCTCCTCAGCCACCTTCTGGGCCCAGCTGTCCAGGCATTGGCTGCAGTACCATAAATATTCATGTTGCCCATTTGTCTTGCTCCACTTCCTATGTTCTAGAACTCTCTAGAAGGCTGGTGAGAGCAATCCTGTGAAATCAAGAAGAGCCTAAAGAAATCAACAACTGTTCCACTAATTACAGAAGAGCCAATAAAAACTAAATTTTACTAACGTCCTAGCAGCTTTAACTATGAGACTGCTACAATTAATAAGACCTGGATTTCCCTTGGAATGATATCCAGATACCAGGCAGCATATTTTATGAATGCGACTAACCTTTCAACAGCAGGAAAAGGGGTCAAAGATCAGATAAGAACCAAGAAAAATTCAAAGACGTTATACAGACTTTTATCTACAGTTTGATATTGTAAGAGCTTATACACAGACTAATAAAGGCTAACATTCATTGTTTTACATGCTAAAGTCACAAGGTGTGACATCATTGCACATCATATGACTTTGCCTGGACCAGTAGCTGGGTCTGGGTCCTGTATTGTATCTCCAGCTTTATATTTGCCCTGAGTCACACAAGAACAGAGCAGACAAGCCACACATAACACTCCAGACTTATTACCCCAGAGGACATCAAAACTGATATTTGCTTTATGATAGCTTTACATGTACACATTATAAGCTAACCATGGTGTCATGTGCAAGGTCCCTGTTTTATTAATAATGTCCTGACTCCTCCAGGCAATGGATTCTTGGCAACTCCACCAAATTGTTCTTCACAGCTGTCCACTGGCGCACAGCAGAATGGATCGTGTGAATAAATTAATACAAATTCCCAGGATTATCATGACTACAGCCTTTTCATATCACATTACATAATGGCCTAGAGATCTTCTCTCCATCCTCCTTCCCTCTTCTCTCTCCAACAGCTCTCCAACAGCTGGGGACTGTCGGAAATCCTGAACGTCTAAGATTTTTCGGAAGAGTAAGAGAACATGACGTTCTTCATAGGGAGAAATTCCACTCATGCCAGTTCTAGGAACACGGGAACTTTTACATATGGTATGCAAAAATGAGGCATGCATCATCCATGCTTATTCATGTGTTCCTGTAGACATGGAAAAACATCAAGCTTTAAAGGAACTGTTTTTTGTTCATATTTTTATTATTATATTCAGAACTCTAGAAAATGAAATGCAGTTCTTTTCATGTCTTTTTAATTCAGAGAATAACTTTTTTTATATGATTATTTATTATTTATCACTTTTTATAACCCTTTGTCTCATTAAAGACTGGTGAAGCTGGCTAAGTCAGTTATACACAGGATGCTATCAAGCAAGCAATCAGTCCTCGGTTTCCCATGAAGCACGAGTGCATCCTGCATTATTATTATTATTATTATTATTATTATTATTATTATTACAGGCAGGGCTTTTT